AATACACAGAGATATGTGTGTGAATGTTATTTAAGCACAATTTATGTAGTATAAACTGTTGCATTTGCAACACCACACTGATAGAGAAATGGGAGTCATGGAGCAGACTGCACAGTGTAAACAGAATCCTGGCCTTTTTATTGATAGAATAATCACACAGCATCAGTTACATGGGGGAGAAGGACAAGTAGAAAAAGATGGGTGAAATTAAAGAATGTGTTTTTTTTTCATCTAGGGCTTGGAGGGACATTAGTCTGCTGACTAGGTAATTCTTACCTGCTTGATGACCAATTGTTGTAATTGAAACTATACCTTACATCTCTGGCCATGGTTCCAATATTATGAACAAGGCAGTCCACTGATCAATTTCTGGAGCCCCTTGTTGTATGTCAGTTCTTGGCTGCCCAGTCAGTCATTCCTGATCATACCTCATGCATGATGTATTAGTTGGGAGTAAGCTTATGCATCCATCATCAGCGGGTTCCCAGTTACACTCTTGATGCATACATATCCTTCCAGGGTGATCAAGCGTTCTGCTCTTAAATGATTTGAAAGGCACCTTGTAAGGTTTGACTCTGACTGATTTACTGGTTTCTGAAGGGCAGTTTTGACCATTGTATAGGAGTGCAGAACTGCAGGTAACAATGATGGCCGAATAGCCCACCTAAGTCTAGCAGATCTACAATCAACCTAGAAATAAGCCACATACTTATCAGCTGATGGATATTTTAACAACATCACACAATGAAATACAGTTCAACAGTAAAAGGAACAAACTCTGGTATGTTACAAAATGGTTGAATCTCAAAATCATTTGCTAAGTTAAAGATCCTGATAGACACAGCAAAAAAAAACAAAAAAAAACCCCTACATATTTATGATTCCTTTATATAAAATGTCCAGAAATGTCAAAACCATGGAGATAGAAATAGATCCGTGGTTGCCTAAGGCTGGGGGTAGGAGTGAGAATTGCCAGTTTGGGTGATGGAAATATTCTAAAATGTGTTGTGATGATGATTATACAACTCTGCAGACATATTAAATATCAACAAACTGTGTGCTTACGGTGGGTGAATTCTGTGGCATATTAAGTATATCTGAGAAAAAATTAAAAAGTTTAATCATCAAACTGTGAAGGTTATGGAACCATTGCCCTCAGAAAGCTTATTTAGCCATAAAAACAAAGCACACATATGAACAAAGAAGTGTATATACTGTGCTGTATGTGTGCATTTATATAATCTTATGAAAGCCCTGAGGAGAGAAAAAGGACAGAGGATTGTTATGTAAGAAATATTTTGCATACATAAAAAGTAATGATTGAATTAGTTTTGTTAAAATTAGTTAAGTAGTTTGCCACTTCAGAGGTATTTGTTTCTTGATTTATTACTTATACCAGCAGCAAATAAAAGATCCTCCTTGTTGGCACTTGTTTGAAAAATGTAAATAATTACAGAATATTTGTGTCTATGAACCAATTAGGTATTATACACTACAAATTAAACCTGGACAAACATTCTTGTTACCTTAATACTGTAAACCTCCACCTTGACTGCTAGACCAAATGGCATTTAGAACATCCAGAAATATGCCTCAATTCAGTTATATAGTATAGTAAGCCATAATTCTAAAATGACCTCCAAGACACCCACCCCACCAACACATACACACACTAACTCCCCTTTGTTCAGTAAAACACTAACCTGACTGCTGCTATGAAGATGCAAATTAAGGTCCCAAATCTGTTGACTTTAAGAAAAGGAGATTTTGCAAGTGAGCTGCACTTTTCCTGAGGAGAGGAGATTCAAAGAATTTCACATGAGGGAATTTCACCTTTGCTTACTTAAAAATGGAGACTGTGGAAAACATGCTCTCTAAAAGGTGTCTCTCTTGCAGCTGGTAAGAAAATGGGAATTGCAATGCTGCAATTGCAAAGAGCTGAATTCTGCCAGTACCAAGTGAGCTTGAAAGAGTAACCTACTTTGCCAATGAGAAAATAGCTCCGCTGATACCTTAAGTTTAGTCTTATGGACCCTAGCAGAGAATCTAGGCCTATTATGCCCAAGCAAACTTCTGGCCCACAAAACTGAGGTAAATAATGGATTTTGTTGAGACCATAAATTTGTGGTAATATGTCATACAGCAGTAGAAAATGAATTTGAAAAAACAATGTCTAATAAGCCTTGAAAGTCTGGCTATTTCCTTTTCCCTAATACACCGTCACTAAAATGACTACTACAAAATGATTTTTGGCTCCTTTGAGGACACTTTTATAGTAAGATGGATAGTATATACTTTTGTATGTACTTTTGACTGGAACCACCCAAAAGGGAGTCTGTGAACTAGCTTACCTCTGGAAACTAGTTAGGAGGTCATTACTCTCCATTGTGGTGATTAAAATCAAGTGTTTGATAAGAGCCCCTAAGTCTGAAAGGTGTTTTCTGTTATATGTACTGAGTTCTCTATTTCATTCTGTATAATAACCATGATCAGTTAACATAGCCAGATCTGTGTGGGTCAAAATATTCTGAATACTGATTTGCTCTATTGCCTTTCATGGTAAATACTTACCTTATTTCTGATGGTTAGGTGCTACCATTTTGCCCTTCTATTTCAGGTTCCTGTTCTCTCCACAAAACAACCTAATAGCCTTTTAAGGATGCAGGTGTACATACATAGGGGAATGTACAACAGATATCATGGTCTTTCACCTAGTTCCCAGACCACAAAGACTTCAGGTTAGGGGAAGACAAAGTTGTTTAGCAATGTACAAAGGCAGGAAGGGGAGAACTTTAAGAAAAAATCTACTACAAATAATACTTTACTGTTATTATATAATCATCATCATTTACTGAGTAAGAATTGGCATGTTCTGTGTTTCATTTACTCTTTACAACTGTATTATGAGATTATTGATATTATATTCCATCTATAAATCATAGAAATGTTAAAAAAATAACTTTGAACAGCCCATTAATGATGAGGCAGGAATTTGAAACTAAATTTATCTGGTTTCAGTGTACTAACTTATGACCATGGAAGAAAAGTTACAGAGGATTATATTTTAAATGTATGTTGAACACAAATAGACAGATGTCCAGTTACACTTAATATATTTTTCTTGTAACTAATTTGTCAGTCTTAATTTCATGTACCTTCTGACTTTGGAGAAGTGATGAGGAGTAGTGAGAAATAGCAGCAGATTAGAAATTTAGAACTTAAATTTTAATCCTGTTTCTGTACTAGCTTATGTAGCCAGAAAAATTCTTACTAGCTTCCTTAAAAAATTGAGATATTCAACATCACTCGTAATAAGGGAGATGCAAATTAAAACCACAATGAGATACCACCTCACCCCAGTGAGAATGGCACATCTTCAAACAACTA